TTGCCTCATGAAAAAGCCAGTCTTTGGACACCTGCCACATAGGACACAGCCAGGATTAGCCAGAGAAGCAGCTTCAGCCCACAAGAGGCCACTGCTGTGGCCAGTTGGGTCGAGAGTCACTTGTCCCCATGCCTGTCCCTCCTCCAGGCCCCCAAACTTTGGGGAACCAGGGCTTTAAGTGGGATTAGAGAAAAGGTGTGTCTGAGGTGACTGGTCTCCCTCTCTTCTCCGAGGAGGCAAGTCCCAGCTTGAACCTCCACTGGATGGAGAGGGAAGCTGAGGGGAAGGTGTAAGGAGCTGTAATAATCAGAGTTTTAATAATCAGAACTGACTGGAAAGTTAGGGTATCTGAGACACCATTAGGGACTGAGAATAAATGTTTTGACAGAGAATGATTGCGTCAGTGATCAGAAACACAGAACAGTTTATTTTTTAAGATTTTATTTATTTGACAGACAGAGATCACAAGTAGGCAGAGAGGCAGGTAGAGAGGGGGGCGGGGAGCAGGCTCCCCGCTGAGCAGAGAGCCTGATGCGGGGCTCGATCCCAGGACCTTGGCTGGAATCATGACCCGAGCCGAAGGCAGAGGCTTTAACCCATGGAGCCACCCAGGCACTCCTCATAGAATGGTTTTGTATTTATACTTCCTGGGGCCGATAGTCCCCGGTGAATTAGAGGGGGTATCTGGCAACATGGAGAATCCAGGCTGAGACTTCTGCCTTCGAGCCTGCCGTCACTCTTATTTTCGTTTACACAACTTTGCCTTTCCCCAGGGTCCCAGGTAACCGCCCCGCTCCCTCCAAGTCCCATCATTACTGCGGAAGTCAGGACCTTAGCTCACATAGTTCAAGGTTATGGCCTTGGTCAAACCTGTTGCCCTAGCAACACACCCTTTGAAATTTCCCAGGTCACAGCAACTTTGAAGGACGGCTCTCATGGCAGGATCTGGGGGTTCAGCGGGGAAACAGAAGCCCCCCCAGCATCCTCCCCACCCCAACTGTGGTACAAGGAATTCATAATGTGCAGTGCTCATCCATTCTAGGACCTGTCTGAGTCTGAATTTCACTTCTGCCATTTCCCCACGTGGCCTTAGGCAAGCCCCCTCTATAAAATGAGATGGTTGTTGGGGCGCCTGGGTGGCTCAGTGGGTTACAGCCTCTGCCTTCGGCTCAGGTCATGATCCCAGGGTCCTGGGATCGAGCCCCACATCGGGCTCTCTGCTCCGCAGGGAGCCTGCTTCCTCCTCCCTCTCTCTCTGCCTGCCTCTCTGCCTACTTGTGATCTCTGTCTGTCAAATAAATAAATAAAATCTTAAAAAAAAAAAATGAGATGGTTGCATTGGGGGATCCCATTCAGAGTTCTTTCCCTCTGTGTATACTGACTCTTAGTGGCCAACTGCCGTCCTTGCAGCTAATTTACTGTTGAAGGTTACACAGTCCCCAGCCGGCTGCAGCACTTAAGAGCATGACAGAGTGGGTGTCCCAACCATGTATATCATCAACCACCCAGGATCGACCCCATCAGGGCTCCTAGGATGACTATGGAGGAAGAACAGAGAGAACATGGAAGACAGTGAGTTCTTGTATCTTATTCTCGCCCTTGCTCTGTATCTTATTCTCCAAAGCTATTTGCATTCCTGCTGCAGACTGGAGCGCCATGCCTGATGCAACTAGGCAGGCTTTCACAAGCTGGTAAGACTTAAAATATTATAGTTGCCATTAACTAACGTGAGATCTGGGTCTCAGTAAATTCTCTCTTCTTTTGAATCAAAGAAGAATAGCTCCCCCCTACTTAAATAATCACACTTAGGGATAGTCAGATTATCATAGTCAATGTCTGGGGGATGGTTTGCAGTTTGTGAAGTACCTTCATCTCCGGTTTCTATTCAGTCATTACAACACGACTTTGAATAGGGGTATCACCGTCATTTCCATACATGGGGGAAAAGTCACTTGCCTTCACTAAGTTGGGAAGTAAGTGGTAGAATCTGGACACAGGTACAAGACCTTTGTCCTTGCCCTGCACCACAGCTGCACACCTCTTTATAAGGCACCCTCTGTCCAACCATCCACCAGGAGGCTGCTTTAGGGTCATGACCAAGAGCCTGGGCTCTAGAGTCAGACTGTCTGGGATTGAACCTTACTAATCATGTGTGTGGTATTGTGCAAGTCTGTAACCTTTTGGTGCCTCGGTTTGCTCAACTGTGAAGCAGAGTTAATAATATCTGCATAAGGGAACCCTTGGAAAATTCCAACTCAAAATCTCCCCCTCCCTTTTTTTTCTTAAAGATCTTATTTATTTGAGAGAGAGAGCATGAGCAGGGTAGGTGGGGGAGAGGGAGAAGGAGAAGCAGCCCTGTGGCTGAGCAGGGAGCCCAATGTCGGACTGGATCCCAGGACCCTGGGATCATGACCTGAGCCAAAGGCAGACGCATAACCGCCTGAGCCACCCAGGTACCCCCCCTTTCTTTCTTCTTCTTCTTGTTATTTGCTGTGTAGTGATCTTCTGAGAACCAGAGTGATTCTGTCACCAGGAGATCCTTCGTACCACAAAGCTCAGGCCATTTCATTCACAAGAGGGAAGTTTTATAAGCTGTGACTAATAAAAGGAATAAAGTTAGGAGCTGTTCTTCAGTTTTCACATCTGACCCTATGTCATAAGCATTATTACCTGCTAACTTCTTTGTAATATTTATATTAGAGAAAAGTCAAAACCTGCGTTTTAGTGGCTCGAATGAGGAGAAAAGCTATGATTGAACATGAGCCCTGTCAATCATTTCAGATATAAAGAGAGGAGAGCCTGTCACCTCATCTTGGGAGGAAGCTGTGTTCAGACTGTGTCCATGCAGCTGGTCACTTGTCGATGATTTCTTTGTTTGTTTTTTTGTTTTGTCTTCCTAAAAGTATGGTGGTGGGGATGGGAAGAAGGGGTCTTTACTCTTTAAAAAGATGAACAGAATTAGATAAGGAAATCTTGGGATACCTGGGTAGCTCTATCGCTAGGCATCTGCCTTCGGCTTGGTCATGATCCCAGGGTCCTGGGATGGTGCCCCACGTGGGGCTCTCTGGTCAGCAGGGAGCCTGCTTCTCCTTCTCCCTCTGCTGCTCTGCCTGCTTGTGTACACACACACAACACACACAACACACACACACTCTCTCTCTCTCTCTCTCTCTCTCTGTGTCAAATAAATAAGTAAAATCTTTTTTAAAAAAAAAAGTTTCTGTATTGAGTGGGATAAGCATTAAACAAAGCACGTGGGGTAAGCGTCCAATATATGTCAGTCAAGGGTACAAACATTTCCACAGAGATAGGTGTGGAATTTGAGAGGCTTTAGCTGAAGTGGGGGTTATCTCTAAACAGCCTGTTATTTTCTCCCTTGGGACACACAGGCTCAGGACCCCAGCCCAACACCTCTGCCCAGGCTTGGAAAACATATCCACCACCAGCTTCTTCCCTCCCCAAAGTTGTAGCCTTTTGAAATCATATGCCTTCCCTTCTAAACTTTCCCCTGCTCTTTAGCTCTTACCCCTGTTCACTATAAACTTGGTCAGGGATGGGCCTTTCATGCCTCAGTCCCGCCAAGTGCCCTGGATTCCCGCCTGGGGGTCCGAGTCCTTGTCACTCAAGAGCGCCCCCTTCAGGAGGGATTGCGAAGCAGCGGGGAAAGCTGGGATTAAGAGCCAGACAGCCTTTGCTGGCGGAGGTGGCACTCCTGGTTCCACAGATTTCTCCTGTGTGGCTTTAGAGAAGTTGGTTCACCTCTCTGAGTCTGACTTCTTCACAACGGGGATTCTCTTTACTGCACACCAGCTGTTACCGAAGGAGGTAATTATTTATAACTGGCTCACAGTGTGATACGTGGTAGATGCTCAAAAATGTTATTTTCTCCTTCCTTCCCCCTCCCTTTCTCTTATTATTTATTACATGGCAACTTAAACAGGGTGAGTTCCCTGAGAAAACTCTCTTTGACCTCCATACATATTTTTCTGCATTACGCATAACCTCTTCTGCTTTATCAGTAATTTTTTTTTTCAGCTCTCCCTGTCTTCCAAGTGTGTAATTTAAAACTTTTTGAGGGGGTTGAGAAGAGGAGCCTGGATGGCTCAGTGGGTTAAGTGTCAGACTCTTGGTCCCAGCTCAGGTCTCCATCTAAGGGTCATGTGTTCAAGCCCCACATCCTGCTGCAGCCTACTTAAAAAATAAATAAATAAATAAAAACAAAAATAAATTTAATGCAAAGTCCAACATCTATTCTGGGCTCCTCAGTTTTCTGCCTGATAAGTGGTAACCATGCCCCAAGAGAGCTTTCGGAGAAGCATTTAGAATTCTGATCTCTGGGGAAGGAGGAAGGGAAGGAACGTGTCTGTTCTGAGAAACAGACCCATTTTCTCTCTTCACCAGCCCGTTGATTCAGAGTACATTCTGAAGTTTGTTGTTTGTTTTTTTTTTTTTTTAAGATTTTATTTATTACTTGACAGAGAGAGACACAGCGAGAGAGGGAACACAAGCAGGGGGACTGGGAGAGGGAGAAGCAGGCCTCCTATTGAGCAGGCAGCCTATGCTGCGGGGCGTGATCCCAGGGGGATCACGACCTGAGGCAAAGGCAGATGCTTAACGACTGAGCCACCCAGGTGCCCCTGAAGTTTGTTTTTTTATTCCACTTGGAAAGCATTTCCACTCCCACGCCCCTCATGCGTTTGCTCTTCCTGGGTTGGAGAAGGCATCTTCCCCTCAACCTCCATGTGGTGTCCTGGCCCTGAGAGACCTCAATCTGGGGACTTCCTGTCTTGTCACACAGCTAGCCGTTGTGACTGCTCTTGAACTCATTCTTGGCATCTGCTTCTGTTCCTCTTCTGTAGAAATAAGGGGCTGCGATTACTCTAGATTAAGATTCCGCAAACTCTTCCTGCAAACGACGAGACAGCAAGTATCTCAGACTCAACTTTGCCTGACATAGGCTGTGGACATACATAAAAGAATGCGTGCGACTATGTTCCAATAAAACTTTATTTATGGACACTGAGATTTGAATTTCATATCATTTCCACACATCACAAAACATCTTTCCTCTTTTGATTTCCCCCAACCACTTATTTTTTAAGATTATTATTTTTTAAATTTTTATGGTTAATAATCTCTACACCCAGCTTGGGGCTCACACTTGGGACCCAGAGATCAAGAGTCACAAACTCTTCCCACTGAGCCAGCTGGGTGCCCCTCCCCCCTACTATTTAAAATGTAAAAAGCACTCCTGGCTCAAAGTTAGGCAGAGGGCCAGACTTAGCCTCTGAAGTTAGCTTGCTGACCTCACAGAGCAGTAGTTTAATCGTCTTTAAAGGCCCTCCCACCTTTGAGAAACTGTGGCAAAGCCAAGACTTTTCCTTGCCTCTCAGAATAGTGTGCTCAGGTCTGGGATGGGAGAAGCCATCCTTGGAGGACGAGAGAGAGAGAGAGAGAGAGAGAGAGAGAGAGACTGACTGGTGGCTCATTTTCCTCACCCTCTCCATTCTGCCTGACCTGGGTCCCAGCCCTGCCACACCACAGCCCAAGACAGCCTCAGTGGAACTTGACGTCTGTGTACTCTGAGTGGGTATCCTCGGGCTCCTGGGTCTCCCGTGGTCTGAGGCCTGAGAAGTGGAGGGTAGCATAATGGAGCTCCTCTTGGTTATTCTGCGATTCTGAGGCTTGAGTGAATGAGTTGGGTCCTGGACAAGTGTGGGCAACAACATGGAGCTCCTTCTGGTTCTTCTTCAATTCCAGGGAGTGAGCACTGGGAGGAGGGGCTCGGGAAGGACTGCGTTGTGCGGCTTTCCGATTCCGAGCCTGAGGGGAAAACAACCATCCTTCATTCCCTTCTCCCTTCCTTCAGTCAACAGCTGCTCGAGAGCTTACCATGTGCCAGGTACCGATTGAGGACCTGAGGATTGATTACATCTTGGGACAGGAACAAACAGTAAATAATGTCTGTGTGGAGGCCAAGAAAAACAAGGCTGTACCTACCTCGAGTCTAGCCCTGAGATAAGTATAGGCATCTTGGCAAAGCAAAAGCTGGCACCTTGCACCCCCTCTCCACCTGCTCCCCTCCCCTCGGTAGTATGTGTGACATCCCTCAGCCACCCCTGGCTGCCCTAAAAGAAAAACAAAGAGTTAACTTGCAGAGATCACAATCCTGCAAGACAGGAGTCTCCCTCGGTTTACAAATGTCCTAGTGATTTACAACAAAGAAGCTATCTTCTCAATAGCCCAATTTCAAGAGACAATTAACTCAGTTCCTTAAGCCCTAATGTCGCCCTCCCCACCATAAAACTGAAGGAGGCTGAGGCAGAAGGAAATGTAAATAAAGTTAAATTTCTTCTAAACCTAAATCTCACTAACAAGGACACTTGATAGGAGAAATGTGAAACTTTATCTCTAAATCTCCAAGATAGTGTCAGCGATCATTCCCAAGCATATGACCCACTGATATACATCTAAAGGGTCTCACAAGAAGATTTTTATTATTGGTAATGAATAACCTTTTCCCCAGACAACAGCTAGCCCCTCAAGGTCCTGGAGACCTCGCTTCCAAAATTCCTTAGAGACTTACATCATCCATAACCCCCTTTGTCCTCACCCACCGCCGAGTCCACCCCACTCTGCCTTTAAAGACTCTGACTGTAATCTGGTTCAGGGTCCAAGTCCCTACTCCGCTGTGTCGGGTATACTTGGGCCCAAGCTTAAGCTTGCTGAATAAACCCTCGTGTGATTGCATCGGTGCTTGGCTCCTTGGTGGTCTCTCAGACGTGAAAACTCGGGCATAACAGTCTGTGGCTTAAGCCACCCTCTCTGTGGTTCTTTGCTGTGGCAGCCTGAGCAAACAAACACAGGCAGATTCCTGTGGCCGCCACCACAATCAAGACGAGAACTGTCCCATTGCCGCAAAGCTCCTCCCTTGCTATTCCTTTATGGTCCTCATCAGCCTCCTGTCCCCAGCCCGGGCAACTATGAATCCGTCCTCCATATCTACAATTTCACCATTTTCGGGGTGTTATAAATATGGAGTCATGCACATATGACCATTTGAGGTTGGCTTTTTTTTGGTCTTTAAGGTTTTTCAACCAGTAGCTTCTTTTAATTGCTTGTTCCATCCTTTTTTTATAATTTTAGATTTTTTTTACTTGACAGAGAGAGAGAGCACAAGTAGGCAGAGAGGGAGAGAGGGAAAATCAGGTTCCCCACTGAGTAAGGAGCCTGACACAGGGCTTGCTCCCAGGACCCTGAGGTCATGCCCTGAGCCGAAGGCAGATGCTTAACGGTCTGAGCCACCCAGGCGCCCCTCATTTGTTCCTTTTGATTGCTGAGTAGTACCCCATGGGGGTAGATGTACCTGTTTGGGCTTGTAAAGGGTAGCATGCAGGAGAAAGAGAGCCAGGCGGTGAGAGAGGAAGCAGGGGGCATGCACAGGAAATGGGGTGGTGCATGGTCTGGTGTGGGGTAGGAGAAGTGGTTTGGGTATATTTTGAAGGGGATTTGCTGATGGGTTCATTGTAGCGTGGTAGAGAAGAGAGGAGCAAAAGATGACTTCCAGGATTTCAGCTTAGGCAGCAGGGCGGATGTGGTGCTGAGACGGGTGCAAAGATAGGCCGGGGCGGGGGGGGGGGGGGGAAGCCTACAGGGGGGAGTTAGTTTTAAGTTCTGTCTCAGGCAGGCTCAGTCCAAGATGCCTGTTAGACATCCAAACAGAGGTACTGCCTCAACAGTCGGCTGTCAGCCTCAAGGTCAGGGCTGAGTTTGAGAGATGTAATTTTTGGAGTCATCGGTGTATAAATGTTCTCTCCTGAAACTATCCAGCATCTGTAGAACACTTGCTAGGTGCCAAGTACTATTCTAAGTGCTTTACAGGTACAGTGAGCATGGTGAACCCTTAGAACAATCCTAGGTGGAAGAAAAAAAGAAAAGAAAGAGCATGATCCTAGGTAATAAGGATTACTATTTTCCCCCATTTTATAGGTAAAGAAACTAAGGCACAGGGAAATTAAGAGATTTGTCCATAAAAAAAAAAAAGAGAGAGAGATTTGTCCATGAACGCACGATGATAATACCAGGACTGAACCCAGACCAGCTGACTTCAGAGCCCTGCTCTTAATCACTAAATACACTGCCTCTCGATGATATTAATAATGATCACATCATTAGTTATAATCAGTAACATCATCAGAGTGGTAGTCATGGCACGGCCGCTCCATTTTAAGCAAGTGCATGTGTTCTAATCCTTGAACCGACTCCCAGAAGGAAGCAGAGGGAGAAATGGAGGCTCTGAGGGAGCGACCGATCTGGTCAAGGTCTCACAGAGAGTAGGTGCCAGAATCAGGACTTGAAGCCAACACCTGCTCCTTTTCCGCCTTGACATCCCTCTGGGGAAACGGTGGGACAGGACAGGAGAGGGGCTGGAGGAGAAGTCTGAGCCGAGAAAGCACAGGCAGCCCAAGAGCCACTTACCAGGGGGCCAGGGTTAGGGAACACATTGATATAGTCCAGGATTGTGCTTCTCTGTGCAGGCCTGGGTCTCGGCGGCATCCCCGCCTGGGCCGGAGTCCCCACCTGGGCCAGAGTCCCCGTCTGGGCCTGAGTCCCCACCTGGGCCGGAGTTCCCGCCTGGGCCGGAGTCCCGGCCTGGGTCTGATTCTTCCTCAGAGTCTTCCTGCTGGGGAAACAACCAGCATGTTCCCCTTGGAACCAAACCAGCCCCAGCCCCACACACCAGCCCCACACACCATCATTCTGGCTCCTCACTCACATGACCAGGAGGAGGCAGAGGAAAAGAAAGGTCATGACGCCAGTTCCCAGAAATGTTCCATAGGAGAATGCTTGTGAGACGAGACCCTTATCTGCACAAGGAAACCGTCGGCTGTCTCTTAGCCTCTCCCATTAACCTGGAGCCTCACGCCCACCTGCCACAGGGCGCTCAGGCTTTCAGCTCCCTTCCCAGACTTTTTATCTGAAACCCCTTCTGTCCAAGTTTTGGAAACCCTGGGGCACCCCAGGCCCAGGTGATAGGACTTCCAGTTTTGATTTCCCTCTGCATCCCTGGCCACAGGGGCTGAATGCCCTTTCCCAGCTCCTGCTCCAACCACAGAACCCTGGCCCCTGCCCCATTCAGCATCCAGTTGGCGTCCGGACCTGGGAGCAGCAGGACAGCGGCGCTCTGCTTCCCGTGCACGTTCCAGGCCTCACAGGTGACTCTGAGGCCAGAGCCCAGCGGCCCACTGAGGCTCAGGGAGCTGTTGGCCCAGGGCCCCGCAGAGCTGGAGGTGACGGTCCAGGAGGCATTGCTCTGGTTCCCTTCCAGCAGCTCCTCCCCCAGCCTCCAGCGCAGGATGGGCACCGGCTGGGCTCGGGAGGAGCAGTTACAGCGCAGCCCCTCGCCCTCCCAGGAGCAGGAGGGGCTGAGCAGCCACGGGGGGCCTGCGGGAGAAAGGGGAAGGGTCAGCGGGTCAGCGGTGCCGCTACTCCCCAGGCCCCGGGCAGCCTGCCCCCAGGGGTCCCCACACTCACAGACCACAGAGAGATGCAGGGAGACGTGCTGGGAGCCCAGTGTGTTCTGAGCTTGGCAGGTGAGGTCTCCTTCATGCTCCATTTGTATCTGAGGGAGCTCCAGGATCCCAGGGTCTGCGGGCTGGGAGGGGCTCAGAGTCTGTCCCCCCAGGACCCAGCTCAGCTGGGCTGGGGGGTTGCTGTGTGTGACACAGAGCAGACGCAAGCTTTGACCCTCCAGGACTGGGAGGGATGTGCCATTCCCAAGGTTTTCCAGGACTAGGAGAGGAAAGAGGACAGATGCTCAGCTGAGGGCACAGGGTCCCTTTGGGGCGCCAACATTCCAGACACTGAGGCCCCCAGCGTGGCTCCATGAGGCCATGGTTTCTCTGGTCCCCTGCCTACCTGTTCTATTTGCATACAGGGTCGTCACTCTCAGGTTCTCTGGGGCGTCTGAAACAGAGACAGGGTTCTGGCTTTAGACAAGGGGCTGCCCTTTGGGCAGAGAACCTTCCTTGGAGACCAAGATGGCAGGACGGGGTTGGGGGGGTGGGGGCGGGGGAGGCGCCGATTGAGTCACCAGCTGACCGATTCTCCTCTGAGTGGCGCAAGGGAATAGATAGGTAAAGGAGGGCTGGCGTCTGTGATTTGTGATTTATAATAAGAAATATCTGTTTGGTCTCTGTCTGGTTCCTGGTGCAGAGCTCCTAAAACCCTTGGAATTTCCTACGTGATGAGAGTCATAAAGGTGTCTTGATATTAATAACAAACCCCTTTCCACCACACCTGGGTTTATGCAAATGAGGCGATTTTTGGAAGGCACCTCCGTTCCACCCCACCCCTGACTTCCAGGGAGGGGAGAGAGGCCGGAGGTGGAGCCAGTCAGCAATGGCCAGTCATTTGCTCAATCCTGCCTTTTTGAAACCTCCATAAAAACCCAAAAGAACAGGCTTCGGAGGGTTTCCAGGTGGGTGAGTGCGTGGAGGTGGCAGGATCAGGGCGCACCTGGAGAGCGGCCCTCGCCCCATGCCTGCCCACCCCCCCCCCACCCGCATCTCTTCCACCGGCTGTTCCTGTTCTATCTGCTTGTGGTAGCCTGAGACCGTCAGTAAAATGCTCCCGAGTTCTGTGAGCTACTTTATCACATTAATTAAATCTGAGGAGGGGGTCACGGGAAACTCCGATCTATAGACGGTTGGTCAGCCTGGGCTTGAGGCTGGCCTCTAAAGTGGCGGGGGGTGGGGGGGGTGGGGGTGGTCTTGTGGGACTGATCCCCCCCCCACTGCGGAATCTGACTCTGCCTCCAGACAGAGTGTGGTGGAGCTGAACCCCTAGAACGCCTAGCTGGCATCAGAGGACTGCCTGGTGTGCAGGGGGAGCCCACATCAGAGATGGAATTGGAATCGTCAGCCCCAAAAGGCCTGGGACCCTGCCCCCAGCCCCGGCCTCCTCATCCCTCTCCCTTTCTGGAAACCAGGGCCCGGCAGGTCGCACTCACACTGCACAGAGAGGTCCACGGTGCGGCTCTGAGAGCCAAGCCTGTTCTCCGCTCGGCAGGTGTAGCCACCGGAATCCCCAGGCTTTACCGCCAGCAGCACCAGCTCCAGGGTTCCAGAGCCCCCGGGGTGGGACCTAGAGAGGACCCGGTCCTCCAGGGCCCAGCTCAGCGTGGCGGGGGGCTGGCCGTCAGCAGCACAGAGCAGTCGCAGGAACTGGCCTTTCTCGGCCTCCAGATGTGGGCTGTTGCCCTGGGGCTCCAGGGCTGGAAAGAGCAGGAGAAAGGCTGCGGGGGGACGACGTCTCCCTCGCCCTCCTGACACCAGCCTGTCCTGCCAGGACTAGCCCCCGCCCTGCCCCAGGCCCTCTGTACCTGTACCTGACGTGTTGACTCGGGAAACGCTGATAACCAGGTCTTTGGGAGCATCTGCAACAAGATTGAGAGCTGACTCTGGGGAGGAAGGAGGGGTTCCTTACAGTCTGAGAGAACACCCGCGGGGCGGAGGCGGGGAGAAAGTGGGGCTACCCTTGGGACACAAGTGACAAACATGGGCTGAGGCAGTGTGCTGGGCTCCTCACTGGCCTCTCTGGGCTGCCCCTCCCCCACCACCAGCTGCTGCTTCTCTCCACCTACACAACCTCCGTGCCCATCAGCACGCTCCAGTGCCCCGCCACCAGACTCACAGGCGACATTAAGTCTGGTGGTTCTCTCTGTGCTCACACCCTTCCTGGAGAAGTCCACGCGGCAGGTGAGGTGGGTGCCGTGGTCCTGGGGTCTCGGAGTGAGAGTAAGCACTGAAAAGTAGGAGGACCTGGGTCTGGGCCCTGGGGCGGAGACGGCGGCCCCCAGCCAGGAGAAAGTAGGGGCTGGACATTCCTCAAAGTTCCAGTTAAACACACAGATGACTGTCACCGGACGTCCTGGCTCCAGGATCTCTGGGACGTAGACATCTGGCTTCTGGGTGAGGGCTGGGACACAGAGAGGGCACATGGGAGCCCCGGAAGGGGTGTTGCAGGGGGCGAGCCCTGGTCTGTTCCCCACAGTACCCCCTTCCCACTGGGGAGGAGGTGGGGGATGGCAGGGAGGAGGAGAGGCCCCACCCCCGGTCAGTTCCGCACCTGTCACTTGCAGAAAGAACTGGTTTCTCACAAAATTGTATTGCACGTGATGGCCTCTCTCCACCCGAAAGAAGTACAATCCCGAGTCTTCCATCTGGGCCTCTCTGATCAGCAGGGAACAGCTCCAGTTCTGGGGATTGCCAATGAGCTGGAATCGGTCCTGGGGCACGGTCTGCACTGCTCGATTCGGGTTGTTTGTGGCCACTGGCCTCCCGATGCTCGAGTCTGTCCCGGTGAGGAACCAGTAGCCAAGAGCGGGGGTGTCCTCCGTCCAGCCAATCGGGGGGTAGGAGAGAGTGCAGGGCACACGCACACACAGGCCCTCCTGCACCGTCACGACCTTCTGTACTTGCAGTGAGAATCCCTGGAACTGAGCCAGAGACCCTGTGGGAGACAGAGGTTCAAGCTCCAGCCCCCGGCCCGGGCCCCCACCCAGGCCCCTTCTGGCCCTTGGCCCACTCACCGCCCAACAGCAGGGCCAAGAGCAGCAGTGGGAGCATCTCTGCACAAGGAGGCGCTTGGGCCGGCCCCCAGACGCTGGGACAGGCAATGGGCAGGGCAGAAGGGGAAGAACCCGGCAGAGGAAGCTGAGCCCCATGCGCCTGATGCTGGGCCCCACATGACACTCCCCGTCCTTGCCACTCCCCACCCGAGCTCATCCACTGGGACCCAGGTCTTCCCTGGGGTGCCCGCCCGGTGCACAGGACTGCAGAGCTAGTCCTTCCGGCAGTCACCTCCCCAGGGAGGGAGTGGAAGGCGTGTAAGGCCGTGGGGCCGGGGCCAGTGGAGGGTAGGGGCTCTCCCCCTGCGCCCTGGGTCACTGGGGAAGCAGAAGTGAAAGTACACGGTGAGCCCTTCTTCACCCTGGGGATGGTGGTCAGTGCAGAGGTGGCTTTTGGGGGGATGGGGGAAAGGCTGGTCTAGAAATTCAGAATGTCCAGCCTAAGTCTTTTTTTTTTTTTTTAATTTTTAAAAAGATTTTATTTGAGAGACAGCAGGAGAGAGAAAGAGAGGATAATCAGAGGAGAAGGGCAGGGGGCGGGGGGGACAAGAAGACACCGCTGAGCAGAGAGCCTGACCCGGGCTGGATCCCAGGACCCAGAGATCATGACCTGAGCCAAAGGCAGACACTTAACCAACGGAGCACCCAAGCATCCCTAAAGTTCACTGTCAATTAAACAACAAATAATTTTGTTTTGATGTAAGTATGCCCCAAATATTGCAATGGGACACTCCTGTATTAAAATGATTTGTTGTGGGGCCCCTGGGAGGCTCCATCGGTCAAGCATCTAACTCTTGGTTTCAGCTCAGATCATGACCCCTGGGCCCTGGGATCAAGCCCTGAGGCAGACTCCTCACTAAGCAGGGAGCCTGCTTTCCCTCTCCCTGCACCACCCCTTCCCCCCGAGCCTGCACACACACACCCTCTCTCTCAAATAAATAAATAAATCTATAAAAAATAAAATTATTTGTTGTTCATACCTGAAATTCAAATTTAACTAGACGCCTTGTGTTTGTAGTTGCTAAATTTGGTAACCCTAGGCCAGTCTTAGTTCCATCCCTTCCTCCCTGATTGGTGGGCTCACCGATCCCCTGGTCTGCCAGAAGCTCCCACCCCCAAGACCTTAGTCTACTTCTACAGCTCTTCTTCTTTTGCCCTAAGATTGGATGCATTTACTTGTGTTTGTTTTTTTTTTTTTTTTTAATTTATTTCAGAGAGAGAGAAAGCTCGGAAGCAGGGGGAGAGGGGGCTCGACCGCAGGACCCTGGAATCATGACCTGAGCCGAAGGCAGATGCTTAACCAACAGAGCCACCCAGGAGTCCCTGGATGCCCTTACTTGTAATACTTGTGATAAGAACACCTGCACCCATAGGTAAGGGGGATGGGACTGAGTGGAAAAGCTCCCAGATGTTGTCCCCCTCACCCAGCCCTTCTCCTTGAAATGACCCCGGTCACATAGAGACACGTGTTGGTCCACTGAACCTCTGAGCCTGGGGACCTAGTGCGTGGCAGGTGCCATGGTACACTCCGGAGACACAGGCAAATCAGACACGCTGTCTGACCTGAGGGGACCCAGTTTGGTAAATGAAGCTTCTGAGAAACAGAAAAGCACTGAAGTACTCATAACTCCTCCCACTGCCGACCCCCTCCCCCACACTTGCCCCAAAGCCCATGCCAGGAGAGACAGTGATGAGGAAGGCATGGTCACTTCTTCCTGGAAAGCCAGGAGAGGTCTCCTGGGGGAAGGTGACCTGTGGCTGCCTCTGTCCTTGCTCTCATGTCTACTGTGTTCATGTGCTTGGGCTGCCATAACAAAGCACCACAGGCTGAAGGGCTTAAACAACAGGAGAAATTTTCCCCACCGCTCTGGAGGCTGGCAGTCTAAGATCAAGGTGTCAACAGGGTTGATGTCTTCCCAGGCCTCTGTCCTTGGGGGTGTACACGCCATCTTCTCAGTGTGTCCTCACATGGTCGTCCCTCTGTGTGTGCTGATCTCTCTTTCTTTCTCTCTTTCTTCCTTTCTTCTCTTCCTTCTTTCTAGTAGGCTCCACACCTAGCATGGAGCCCAAAGCAGGGCTTGGACTTATGACCCTGAAATCAAGACCTGAGCTGAGATCAAGAGTTTGACGCTTCACCAAATGAGCCACCTGGGTGCCCCCAATGTCTTCTTAGGAGAATGCCAGTCCTACTTGATTTGAGTTTGCTCTATGACCTCATTTTAACTGAATTACCCTTTTAAAGGCCCTGTCTTCAAATACAGTCACATTGGTCAGTACTGGGGTTAGGATTCAACATGTGAATGGGGCAAGGCGGGGGACACAATTCAGTAGCTAATATGCACCTTCTGCACTCTGATCCTGGTCCCCACTGCCCAACCTGGGCTTTATCAGGGGACAGCCCTCATCCCTTCTCCCAGGAAGCCTCCTGTCTGGGGACTTCACAATGTGAAGCTCATAAAAGGCCTCCCACAGGGAAGAAGGACAGGGAGGGAGGGATGCCTGGGTCCTAAAAAGACCCTCTCTTACTTAGCTTGCCCTGATCGTGCTACTGACAATTCCTTGATTTTCCTATTGTACTTAGCTGTGGAAGATGATAACATTGGGGGACACCTGGGTGGCTCAGTTGGTTAAGTGTCTGCCTTCAACTCAGGTTATGATCCCGGGGTCCTGGGATCGAGTCCAGCAGCAAGCTCCGTGCTCAGAGCAGAGTCTGCTTCTCCCTCTACCTGATGCTTCCCCTGCTTGTGCACTCTCTCTCTCTCTCTGACAAATAAATATAATCTTAAAAAAAAAAGTTGATAACGTTGGAGGGAAGAGGTTCAAATCCATGGGATATCCCTGTGCACTTCCTGGCAACCTCCCGTGACTCAATAGTTTCTTCACGATGAAGTTCAAAGCAAACCAAAATAGATCATCACAAAATGCAACAACAACAACGAACAGGCTGATGACTATAAATTGTATCTCAGCCCTGACCCTTTCCTGTCCATCAGATTCCTACTCAGGAATCTACAATGTGTGTCTCAAGCTTCACGTGCTTCATGCCACAATATTTCTCACCGCAACCTGCTTTTCAGCTGTCTAAATATTACCATGTGACACCAAGTCCTGACCACTTCCTGGATCTCCATACACCACCACCCACAAGACCCATTAGTTCAGCTTCTTGAGTATTAACAAGGTCTATCCACTTATCCCCATCCCCACTACCATTCCTTACCCTGGTCCAAGATGTCAATCTTAGCACTCTTGACATTGTGAGTCAGATCGTTCTGGGGGAGGGCGGGTACAGGGCAGGATGTCCAGCAGCAGCCCTGGCCTCACTCCTCAGATGCTAGTAGCAGCCGTCCACTCCAGCTGGGACAAATGAAAATGCTCCCAGACATTGCCACCTGTCCCCTGGATGGCAAAATCACCCTCGATGGAGAATGGCTGCCCAGATCCGAGCCACAGCCCTCACTACCTGTTACGACGGCAGTGATCAGTTGTCCTCCCTGCTTCTACTCTGCTCCCTTCTTGGTGGCTTCTCGACACAGCAGCCAGAGAGAGCATGAGCAGGGGGAGTCGCAGGCACAGGGAGAGAGAGAAGCAGGCTCCCCGCTGAGTAGAGAGCCTGACACGGGGCTAAATCCCAGGGCCCTGGGGTCATGACCTGAGCCAAAGGCAGACGCTTAACCGACTGAGCCACCCAGGTACCCCCAGAGTTATTTTTCAAATAGAAATCAAACCAAGTCCCACTCTTACTTAAACATTTCAGTGGTATCTGGTTATCTTTGGGAGGAAATCTCAACTCCTCACAGTATCTCTCCCCACCTCCATGACCTTCCCAAACTCACTTTGAACCCTCTTCTGCTTTGTTTCTAACATTCTAACAGTAATCACCCCCTCCCACTGCTCAGTTCTCACCTGCACCAAGTTTACTCCCACCTCTGGGGATGATACTTGGGGTTGTGGCTGCCCCTCCCACTGTTTGGAGCTCAAATTCGTCCACAACAATTCCCCGGCCCCTTCCTGGGCCCCCTCAGAATTTCCCACCCTTCCTCAGTGTGACCAGATCACCTCTGCTCCTCCCCCAGTCCTGCCCAGACAAGAGCCAGGCTGCTACCTGAGGCCAGGAGAATCTTTTTTGGTTATCCTCGCATCTGTCCTCTCTGCCCAAGAATGTTCAGATTTTCTCTGAACATATTCCTTTAAGACAAACAAACACCCAGCTCCACAGGCCTCCCCTCTCCTCTCATTAATAAATGTTGAACACCTGCTCCTTCTTCCGCTGATGTCACAACAGGGGGCAAAGGTATATGTTGAGGAAGTGAGATGGAGATGGGGAAGCATGGAGCGGGAGAGGGTGGGGGGGGGAGGTAGTTAATTCAGGATGCCCCCTCGGAAGGGTGCAGGGGTGTGGGCCTGAGGACTAGAGTGATGTGTTGTAGGGATGTAGGGAAGGATCCTGGTGGAGGGTGAAGAGCCCAGGTTTGTCTGTAGTTGAGACCCTGAGGGTGCTGAGGAGCCTTTATTAGGGGCAGGGGGCATCTTATCCTTCCCCGCTACACACACACACACACACACACACACACACACACACACATCCTCTTCCTGTCATCTGGCCCCGTAGGACCTGTCCCAGGTGCCTCGCTGCCTCTGCTGCAGTTCAGCACGCAGCCTCCAGGGGGCGCTCCATTTCCCCCCGCAGCACGGACCCCTGTGGAAACCCCAGGCACCAACCAGGGTCTGTGTGGGTGGTGGTCCTGGAGAACCGCCGCTCTCTCCGGGGACTCTTTCCCTGATGCTGAACACTTCCTGCAAACGTGGCTCTTCCCAAAAGGTTGCATTCGTTCTCGCTGCAGCTACAAATTATGACTGTGCTCCTTCCACGGCACCTCAATAAACCGAGTCTCTGCCAGGGGGAGCCTATGAAAGAAGTCACTGTGTCCGCCCTCCTTCCCTGACTGCAAATCCACCCTCCCCAGATTTAAAACACTTGGGTACCTCCCGGTGCTC